AATCTACATAGACCTAAATATGCCTTAGAGAAATGCTATACGAAGAAATTAAGTCAATAATACCTTTGCAAAAAAGAATGCTCTAACATAAATCAACTTTCTAGCACAACAAAGATAATTTAAGAAAACAAAATAGGAGTCAGATTGATAGAAGGAACAGCCAAAAGTTCCACTATTCAACAGAAATCAACCTAACCCAAACATTACCCCCGATACAGAGTTAAGAAGTGATTATAAAATAAAAGTTATATTCTTTAAATTAAAAGATATTGTTTCCCACAAACACAGACATACATATGTATATTATCTGCTGGTAATTTCTAAAAAACAAAAAATTAGCAGAAAATATATAAACTTCATTTCATTTCCGTCCCATCAATTTCTCATAATCCAAACAAACATTTAACAAATAAAAATGATCAATTAAAAAAAATTAAACAATCGCCCTTACCTTCCGACGACCGCAGCTAGGGTCTTGATGTAGCTATCGATGATATCATCCCTGGTGATATCACCCTCAGGCGGATCCATGACGACCAGCCAGTGCTCAAAGTCACACCCATCGAGGAGGATCGTCTCCTTGGGAGGCCGGTTCGACCAGTTAGGGTTTGGATCTCTAAGCGACGACGTCGTCGAGTTGGTCGAGAAGCACCGGATGGACGCAGGAGAGAGCTTACCGGGGGAGGCGACGAATCCAGCGAGGGGACGAAGGCGGTGGAACAGAGAGAGAGAAGAGCGAGATTGGGCAGTGGATAGGGAAGCAGCGGAGGTGGCTGTGGATAGAGAGCGAGAGAGGAAGGAGCTCATGGCTAGGGTTTTGGGAAGAGATCGGGAGAAGAAATGGGTCGCCATGGTTGATCGCGAAGGGGTTTGGGGCTCTGAGATAAACCCTAGAGCGAGAGTAGGAGATAAGGGTGTTAGGGTTTTTGCGGAGGTTTTATAATAGCAGTGTACTGAGTGACTCTGGTTGTTAAATACCTCTTCATTTTCAGCAGATCAGACGGCATTTGATTTTCGAAATGTCTCTTCTTATCATTTTATTTCTAATTTAATCAATTACTAATAATAAAAAATATTTTATTTTGATGTAAATTTTTGTTCTTTACTAGCATATTGACTTGGCTCATTAAAGTTGAGAATGATGAAATGCAAAATGTTAAATTTAAATTTGATGGTTTATGTGGCAATTTGACACTTTGGAAAAAATTTAATTCCATCCGAAATGTCAAATATCATATTATTTTATCATATTTTTAAAAGCAAATGTGGCCTATAATGACTAAAAAATATTAAAATAATATTTTATATTAAGTTTTTTGATATGTTATTTTTGACATATCTCTTAAAGCCTTCAAATTTATGTAGAATTTGACTACTCGATTTGAACAATTTTAACCTTTAATTTTTTTCATTTCATTTCCATGTGGCAATTTGACGTATTAGTTGGAGATGCTCTAAGAGCATCTCCAAGGGAAATGTCAAATACCAAACATCAAATTTAAATTTGATGGCTGATGTGGCAATTTGACATCTTACACAGCTTTACACTCCACCCGATATGTCAAATTAAATTATTATTTTATTACATTTTAATGTTGATTTATTTTTAATTAAAAAGAAAAGAAAAAAATAATAATAAAATATTCATTTGACATCTTGCTTTTGGGATGTCAAAAATAACATCTCAACCTCCAGCCTTCATTCCACATAAGCTTTGACACATCGGTTGGAGTGATGTGAGATGTTATTTCTAACCGTTAAATGTCTATGTGGCACTTTTGACACATCGGTTGGAGATGCTCTAAGGGAGATGTCAAATACCAAACATCAAATTTAAATTTGATGGCTGATGTGGTAATTTGACATTTACACAGTTTTACACTCCACCCGATATGTCAAATAAATAATTATTTCAACAGTCAAATCATTCAAGATAAAGAAGAAAAAAATAATAAATGAAAATAATAAATAAAAGTAACAACCAGCTGTCTTTAAAAAATAATAAAATATTTATTTGACATCTTGCTTTTGGGATGTCAAAAATAACAGCTGAACCTCCAGCCTTCATTCCACATCAGCTTTGACAATTCGGTTGGAGTGATATGAGATGTTATTTCTAGCCGTTAAATGTCTATATGGCACTTTTGACATATCGGTTGGAGATGCTCTAAGGAGCCAAATTTTTTCCTTTCTTAAATTAATTCGCTTAAGGTTTTTTTTTTTCATTTGTTGTGGAATCTAATGTTGCATGACGGTTTAAATTTTATTATTTTTATTAGAAGAAAATAATATATATATTTTTTTAATTCTTTATATATATATATATTTTTTATAAAAAAAAATTAGAAGAAACATTGATGATTAGTGCTCTGCTAAGGCTTCCTGGTGGGAAAAAAGGGGCTGCACTGCATCTAAAGTGAGACAGCTGATGAAGGAGCTTTGGGCTGGAGCATGTTGCAGCTTCAAGAATTGGTTGAAAATCAAACAATGGCATTTCAGGTGGGCAAAGGCGCAGAGTTTCAATTGGAGTTGATTTAGTTCATGATCCAGTTGTGATTTTGATTGATGAACCAACTTCGGGGCTGGATTCTGCCTCAGCTTTCCATGTATCAAGGCAAGACTTGTTCTGACCATTCACCAACCTGGTTATCGAATCCTACATTATTCTGTTTTCCAATGGGACTGTCATGCATAATGGATCATTGCATCTTCTCCAACAAATGCTCAATTCTGCTGGCCATTGCATTCCCAACCATGTTAATCTGCTCAAATTCGCCATTGATGTTATCGGTAGCTTGGATGGTACACAAACTTCATAAGCCTTGAACAGCCATCCTTTACAAGAAATTGTATGCTCTCACAATTTGGAAGAAAAACTTCTAATCTACCCGAATTCTCGACTTGTGGAAGTTGTTATACTAGGAAAAAGATTTTGCAGCAACATATTTAGAACCAAGCAACTGTTTGTCACAAGAGTCATGCAGGGAAGAAGGTGCATACAGATTGACAAAGATGGATGCAATCTATTTGGGGATGGATTCTTTTGTATATTCTTTTTAGGATGATCAATCAAACTATTGTATCATGTACTGTTTACTCTGTTTCAAAACTGGGTTTGGTGCCTCAAATCCAAAACATTCTGATTCGTCGAACAACGTTATCAATGCCAATTTGGATCGATTAAGTTTTTTATTTTTGCATGCCTACAAATTATCCTAATTCAAAACTTCATACCACACATCCGAATTCTAGCGGAATTAGATTAGACAGAATTCATCAGAGTTGTATGATATTCCATTTCAATGTTCATCAATAGTTCTATTATCCAGTGAAGAGAAGACCATTTCTGAAGACGTGCACAATACCTTAGCTGAAAAAGAATTCTTGCACAAATAGATGCTGGTCAACCATGACCTGATTTCCATTTGTAGCTAGATCAAATTCCAATTTGAGTTATAAGTTCTCTTTTTCATTGTTTGTGCTTTATAACTCTAAAGTAAGCCTCATGCACTCCTCGTGCCCGAGTTTACAAAGAGTGTAGGAAGCTTATTTGGGAGTGCAGATCGAGTCGAGTAAAACTTCAAGTGATTCAATAAAAAGGACATAAATTTGAACATTGCTAGATCAATCCATAAGGTTCATCAAGAAAATGAGTAAAAATGGGGATGTTGTCTAGGAAACTTGGAAAGAAAATGCTTAATGCAGATGAAAATGAGGCCCTACTTGCTTCGGTCGTATATAGAATTGAAGGTCATAGTAGCAAATGAAGCAGTTATGTTTTCTGATGAAGATGATGTATTGATGAACCTCCCTGAGGCAGATACCGTGTAAGATGAAGGTCTTGCGTTGGCCTTATCTCTATGGCCTTCTGTCTGATCCATGAATTCAGAAAGCAGTCCTGGTTTGGATATCTTCTCCTCATTCACATCTCTTTCACCTGTCAGCATCTCAACAACAGTAGACATGGATGGTCGGAGCTTGGGCATGTCTTAAGTGCAGAGTAGGCCAATCTTCAGGAATCTGCAAGCCTCCTCAACATTGAATATTCCATTCAATGCTGTGTCTACTAACTCCACCAGCTGCCCCCTCTCATGGTGTTCCCATACCTGCAACACGAACTTTTATTTTGATAAGTCTTCTCAAGATTCTAGCATGTAATTCTATCAAATTGCAAAATTATCAACCATTTCATAGCTAATAGAGATCATTGCAAAATCATTAACCATTTCATATCAAATTACTATCTCTTGCCAAGTTGCCATAGATGATTAAGAGTTTTTCTATTTAAACCCCTCACTTTTCTTTGTTCACCCCAATACTTAAATCATTAAGCTCTTAAGTTTTATTATTGTATAAAAAGACAAAAAAGGTCATCCAACTTTAGAGGTTGATGAGTTTTTTTTTTTTTTTTGGTCTGGGTGTGTATTTAGGGGTAGTTTGAGAAGATAGTGGGGTTTTCTTAGAAATTGTGAAAATTTGAATTACAAGTTGGGGGGAATTTAGAATATGGGGTGAACAAAGAAAAGTGCGGGGTTTAAATAGAATGTTACATTAGAGAGTTGAAATTTGTATAATTTTACTAGAAGAAAAAGAAAAGTTCCCTAAATTATTTTTCTTAATGGAATTTTCATTGTCTTCCAATGAGCATGAGATAGATAGAAGTTAGCCAATAGTAGAAAGTGCACAAGCTTGATCTTCTTATGGTAGTTTGGCAAAGGCCCAGAAAACCAAAGTTGGCAATTCTATTGTTGTAATTGCCTAATTGGTCAAATTAGCAAATTTCCCACCAAACTGCTGAGCAACCAGCACCAACCCTACGCAGTCAATAATCGGCTCACCTGAAAAAACTTCCAAAAGTGAATTACGTACTTTATTTTTTGGTTTTCTTGAAGCCCTCCTCCAACTCTCCAAACCCATCAGAAGTTATGTTTGCCAACAAGAACATAGAAAAAAAGAGAGCAACACCAAGTCAAATACATGTTATCTCAAACTACCTAAGCCCCCCATGCATCACAAAAATATCAAAGCTGGCTTCTTCTCTGAGCTTAACTTGTGCAGCAACACCAAATTTGGTGTGTTAGCTCATCTCTTCCATTTCCTCACACAATCCCACAAAATATCCCATTTCTCTCTCCCTTTTCACTCTTCTGCTCCATGGAATTGCCGGTGACAATGCCGGTTTCTGGTGGCCAGAGAACAACACCATACAGAATTGAAACAAGAAATCTGGGATACAAATTATGTACCCAATTTGATGAAATGAAGTTTGTGTGTTGTGCTACTTCAAGGAGGGTTCCAAGTTTCATTTTGAAGGATGTAAACTGTGAAGCAAGGCCTGTAGAGATCACTGCAATTGCTGGTCCTAGTGGGGCTGGAAAAACCACACTGCTAGAGATTCTTGCTGGGAAGATATCTCCAAAGAAAGTTTGTGGTCAAGTGCTGGTTAATGATCAGCCTATGGACACCAAACGTTTTCGGAGAATATCGGGATATGTCACACAAGATGATGCCCTATTCCCATTACTTACAGTTGAAGAAACACTCATGTTTAGTGCTCTGCTAAGGCTTCATGGTGGGAAAAAAGAGGCTGCATCTAAAGTGAGACAGCTGATGAAGGACCTTGGGTTGGAGCATGTTGCAGCTTCAAGAATTGGTTGGGGATCCAACAATGGCATTTCGGGTGGGGAAAGGCGCAGAGTTTCAATTGGAGTTGATTTAGTTCACGATCCAGGTGTGATTTTGATTGACGAACCAACTTCAGGGCTGGATTCTGCCTCAGCTTTCCACGTAGTGTCCTTGCTCAAAACTATGGTTGTCAATCAAGGCAAGACTATTATTCTGACCATCCACCAACCTGGTTTTCGAATCCTCGAGATATTCGACCGCATTATTCTGCTTTCCAATGGCACTGTCATGCATAATGGATCATTGCATCTTCTCCAACAAAGGCTCAATTCTGCTGGCCATTGCATCCCCAACCATGTTAATCTGCTTGAATTCGCCATTGATGTTATTGGCAGCTTGGATGGTACACCAACTTCAGAAGCCTTGAACATCCATCCTTTTCCTTTGCAAGAAAGGCTTGTATGCTCTCACAATTTGGAAGGAAAGCTTCTAGTCTACCCAAATTCTCGACTCGAGGAAGTTGTTATACTAGGACAAAGATTTTGCAGCAACATATTTAGAACCAAGCAACTGTTTGTCACAAGAGTCATACAAGCCTTGGTAGCTGGGTTGGTACTTGGGACCATTTTCTTAAATGTTGGCAGGGAAAAAGGGAGCATTGCCTTACAAACCCAAACTGGTTTTTTTGCCTTCAGCCTCACTTTCTTGCTATCTTCCACAACAGAAGGCTTACCAATTTTCTTACAAGAGAGAAGAATTCTAATGACTGAGACTTCCAAAGGAGCTTATAGAGTTTCCTCCTATGTTATAGCAAACACCCTCATATTTCTTCCTTTTCTTTTCATGGTTGGTCTTCTATATTCCACTCCAGTTTACTGGTTGGTTGGATTAAGGAGGAACATTGATGGATTTATCTACTTCTCTCTGGTAGTCTGGATGGTTCTTCTGATGTCCAATTCTGTTGTGGCTTGT